CACTCAACAATCTCAAGGTGGAATTCTCCTGCTTTCGATGATGCAGAAAAACGGTTTTGTAGTCTTTCTTTCGAAGGATCAGTCGTTACGTATGGGTGACTCCTTCATTCCTGCTTTCTTAAGCAGCAGCAAAGCAAACTCATCCACCTACAAAAAGAGTTGCGTGCCTTGTAATTGATGCACGAAAAAATAGGAATTGCATGGAATTGCCATCCCTTTTCCTCCCTAAATGGCCAACACAGCATCAGCAGGTCCTTCCACATCTTCAACGCCGATTCCGCTTCACCCGCCGCCCATGCGCCGCCGCTCGCTGCCGCGTCGGGCGGCGCCACCACCAGCGCCGCCGCCACCGGCGCCGCAAGCGGCGAACGCGGCGGTGCCGAAGCCCAGCGCGACGCCGCAGGCGGCGCCGAGGCCGAGGCCGGAGCTGAGGGCGAAGTTGAGGAGAGCGTAGCCTGGGAGAGATCTTGAGGTTCAACATGGAATCTGGTTCAATCAAGTGGTGTGATTTGGAGTATCCACAAGGTGACCTGCGCCGGCCATGGGGTCAGTCTGCACATTGACGGGGCGAGTTGGGTTCCTTGTGGCGTCATTTTGGGTGTCGGAACAGTCGACCAAATGGATTGCTTGAAGAACCTGCTGATTCTGGAGGTCTGACAGATTCCTTCTTGCCAGACCTGCCCGTGGGTCGACCTCATGTAAAATTGAAAAAAGGCCCTTCTGGGATCAAGTTGTCACCTTTCTTGGCAATGGCTAACCGCTTCGACATGAGCCTGTCCCTGTCTCCCCTCTTCCCGTCGTCGCTCAGGTCCAGCAGCCCCAACATCATCCCCTGCCTTCTGTGAGCTTTGTCGTCCTCCTTGGCACCAAGGTGAAGCACAAGCAGAGTGCCGGGCCGCTCAAACCGCTGAGCATGTCCACAATGCTGAAGGTCCACACCTAGAGCCACAAAAAAAACGATTGTGATTACTACACATGTCCATCAGCCCAACCGCAAACAGTGTTGATCTTCAAAAAGACACTGACGTCTGACAATATTATACTACTATAGTTACATATATATACAATGCTCCATCAACTATCCTTCCCCTTCCCCCTTCCTTCCCGGGTTTTCCCTCTCAGCTCGATTCATGATCTCTTCCTCTGCCGAAACACCCCGGGGCCCCGCCGACGCGCCTCGGTCGCTCGCGTGGACTGCACCCCAGCGGTCGCCAGCAGCGCCACATAGGGCGCCGTGGGCCACAGCAGGGCCCAACGCAGCCAGCGGTGCAAGGACTCTCCTGGTGGGCTGAGCTGGTGGGCTGAGCCATGTACGCTGCTGGGGTGGAACTCGGTAGGTGTTCTTTCCACCAAGACGTATCACCTAAGGGATCATATAGGGTTTAGGGTAAAGTCTTTGGTGAGGGATAGGGGTTTGCTTCGCACCAAAAATCTTTGGACCTTTCGAAACACGGAATGCACCGAAACGCGACATCACATGCTGAGAACATCTCTCCTCTATCCACGCGAGCACCAATGAGGGGTGCCAGGACCGTGTTCAAGGCGCCTGAAGGTGCGAACGGTGCGACGAACGGTGCGGATTTGATGTGCCCTAACCATCATTGGACCCTCCTATGGAGGGGTCTGGGGAGTCTGGGGTCGAACCAATTGTTTCGGTTTTGAGGGTTTAGGGCTGTGAACGGAGCCTCTGAGTGAACCATACTAGCTGAATATTGAACTGAACGGTTTCGATGGGAACCAAACGGTCCAATTGAACAACTTCATAGTGCAAAATTGGACAAAGGGATTGGACATTGAAACAACTGCTAAGGACAGTAGGCTGCTCCCTCGTTGAAGATGTTGATGTCTAGTGATGTGAACAATAACCTGAGATCCTCTTGCCCAGGTCCCAGGTCCCCATCAACCTGACCCTACCCCTTTCTTTCCGATCCGTCACACGGGCACAAGCTCAAAGTTCACGCCTAGACCGGGGATGAAGGAACTTGATGACCCCACGATCCGCACCCGAACCTCGCGAACCTCGGGCTCGGCCCATCGACCCTCTCATTGACCCTCTCAACCATCCGATTCGGGTGAAATCCAGGGACCACCAAACAAGCCATTTCCTCACCATCCAAGCGAGTGCATCTGAAGGGCCGCCTCCCCAGTTCAAGCGAAGTGTCTCATGTCATCTCCCCTTTGGCAGTACCCAAATGCTCGTAGTACGGCCAGGAGCCCCTAGTAGCGTCCTTGTTACTAGTAGTAAGGCCAGGAGCCCCTAGTAGCGTCCTAGTTGCTGCAAGTGCTTCTCCTGGCCTTTGATGCTCACCAGAAGACCGGTTATCAGGAAAGGCTGTTGAAAGGTCGCCTGGCCACGCGATGCTTTTCTGCCGGTTTTCCACACGATGCGTTTCGTGAGTGTTCAGACAGGTCACAAAGGCCAGTCATGTGATGGCAACTGAATCCAAACAGAAATTCATAGGAGGTACTACTGCGATGAGCACCAGTTGGGAGAACTACAGCAAGGCTGACATACCACCGATCTACAGCTCAGTTCCACCCTTCCTTGGTGACGCTTCTCATCCTAATCTGGGGAAACCGTTTTGCGGGATAACTCCCCTGCATCGATACGTTCTATCTTCTCACACAACTTGTTCCTCAGTGATTCACACGGGTCCATGTTTCATCTTCACACTGCTTGTTCCTCGGTGATTCAATCACCTTCAGCTGGCTCATCTCCTGAGATCCTCACCTTCGGTGAGACCCAAAACGTCAATATATTTCTCTCCAAACGGCCTAGCACTGCAAGAATTGCTCGGTGTATTCGATCCATACCAGCCAAATTTGGATGTGTAGCTCAAATAAGGAGACCTCCCAGGCAACAACCCGCTGGAAGAAGGAATGGAGATCAGTCTACCCATTGGGCCAGGGTGTCTATTAAGATACACACTCATTTGGGGACAGCTTTGAGGTACACGTTCGTGCTTCCTATAACAAAGGATTTAGCTCCAAGACTACAGTCTGTAGGAACTAGTCTACTAATAGAATCTAGATAGAAACGGTTTCCAATACATTTTTAGTGGGACCTACTGTTCTATCTATTTGGGGGTCTATACCATCAGTTCTTGGAACTCCCTCAATCGCCCCTCGCCGCTGCGCCTCTTGCAGCTTTGGCAGCTGCGTCACCGGCAGGCCCAGATGGAAGCCCAAGAGCGCAAGGACCAGCCCTTCGCGCCACAGCTCCCGGTAGACCGCCATCACGGCATCAAGACATGGGGGAAATATGGGGAAATCCCTGCAGTCCAGCAATTCTTGGGGATGTGCGTGGATCTTTTGTTCGGCCATGTTCTTGCCAAGACATCAATGTATGAATCAAGTCCAAGGTGGTCAAAACATGCTGCCACTCATGCTGCCAGAAGGCTGATATCGGCCATGTTTGTGTCTTTTTTTCTCTTTTCTGGGCGATTCAACTGTCTAAAGTCTACAAAAAACGACATAGGCTTCATTGACACCCGGATTCTGTGGGTGACTCGGATTCGAGGTAGATCAATTGGCCCCTCTGACATTTCCTGAGGTTTCCTGAAGCCAGCTTCTGCAGTAGGGAACGAAAGACTGGACACCTTCTGCCGATGCATACAGTGAGTGTCAGCTTGAGAAAAGCACTCCAGAAGTCTTGTATTTTCAATAAGGACTCTGTCTCAACATACCGTTCACATTCAAAAAACCTCCACCAGTTGGGAAGACTAGAAATCCCTGTCTCATTTGTGTTTGCAGTCCCGTCGACTATCCCTAGAGCATCGCATGTTCTGATGCAGCTTTGACAAAGTTGAAGGCATCAATTACTTCAAAAGAGCATTTTGATGTCTATCATTCCTCGATGGATGTGCCGAAGATACATTCATGTTCAAGCAGGGGACTACCTGTTTTAATCCATCGAGGTGTACATTTACCAGCATGTTTCCCCCAGCCATGTGGGTCAGTGATGTTCATCGGCATGTCTTGGAATCTCTGAGTGCCCCGGCTCGTGTAGAGTTGCCTGGACCTCAGGTGATGGAGACATCTCCTTCTTTCTCAACCAGGAACAACCTGCAGAAGGTCTTCTCCTACTGAGATCTGCATCAAGCACCTCAGGACCTGGACATCTTCATCTTCCCATGTCCTTTTCTCGCCGATTTCCAAAAAACCCCGATTTCGGTCTGTCGACCGGTCTGTCTTTTTTCTTTCGGCGACGACCGAAGAACACGGAGAGCGGAGCGGTCGAGATGTCACCCAGCCGGTGTCGCCCAGGTGGCGAGTGGGCGAAGAAACATGAACTTGGATCCTCTCAAGGATGCGGACAAAAACACATGCGAGACCAAAAAACAATCACAATCAATACCACTTGTTGTGGTCCTATATGTTTCACATGCCTTGGTTGCCTACTGGCGGTGGGTTGTGGTCCATTGGACGAGATCTGGGTGGTCAATCCCTTGGACCTCAACTCATACGAGCAATTCCTGTGGAAGAGCTTTCATTTAGTGCGTGTATGTGGGTGTTTTGCTGCTTCTCCGCGTGTGCTTGGTGCATCACGGGCTAAACTACCGAGCAGGGTCTTTGGTTGTATACCAATGATTACCAATGTCTCGGGATGTCTGGAGCATTCCCAGTAATCATACATCACAAATCCAATCGATTAAGCAATTTCTTAAGCTTCACCTTTTCTTTTAGACCTTATGGAGAGTGACGATCCAACTACGACTCATACAAGAAGAGTTTCCAAATGTTTCCAACCTGCAATTGGCTATTGATCCTCCTTTGAGGAAGTGGTGACCATCACAATACTTGGAGACACTTGTCAGGACAAATCCAACCACTGCACCGATTCGATCATTACTAATTGCTTGCTGAGAAAGTTTCGGACGGCATGGACCCATCCCCCCACCCAACTCATTCAATCCCAACAAAAACAAAACATTCGTTCAAAAGGTCTTCGACTCTCGGAACACTTCCACTTCCACCACTTCATCGCACCACTTCATCGCCCAGAAGCGGTCCAGTTGAAGACCCGTGCGCCGAGTCCTGGCGTGCGTCCGTCCGGCCGCCACCGATGCAGAGGAGCTACCGATGGTGCCCATAAGACCGGAAATTGGTGCCAAATTAATGTGATGGATATGGATGGGATGGATATTGACATGTAGAAAAAGCCGTTCTACATGTCAAACGGACACATCACGATGCACTGGTCTTTTTCGATTCATTGATGGTATATAATCTTATGTCCGTTCTCAAGCCCTCAAGAAATTCACGCACAAGTTCCCTTAAACCCAGCACCCCCCCCCAATCAGCAAGAAAACGTCCGGTGTTGCGGAGTGCAACGTGATGTTTCCCACTTCGTCCTGCTAAGGCCTGCGCCAAGGCTTGGATCTGTCGCTCTAAGACCTGAAGTCTTTGTCGCACGGCTCCGACGTGTTGCCTGGTGACGCTCCAACCGTTCATGGGACTTCCAGGGTTACATACATTTACCATCGTATACCTCATGGAAATGACCCGTTGAGGTAGATACGGGATACGTAGGGTTTGGTTGGGGGTCCAGGATTGTGTAGGTGTTCCGGCGACGGTTTCGGCTACTACTACTACTACTACTACTACTACTACTACTACTACTACTACT